TGGCTGCATGCTCAATTATCTTTTAAAAGAAATTTTAAATAAGGAAAAAAGTATTTATATTTAACCACCTACTTATCATTTGCAGTGCTCTTCATTGTGTTTCATAGGTCAAGATTTCTGTCTGGTAGCATTTTCTTCTGCCTGAAGCCCTTCCTTTCCTTTTTCTTCTACTGCTGGTCTGCTGCTGATAAATTCTTCAGTTGTCATACATCTTTAAACTCTTTATTTTGTCTCTGTTTCAGAAAGATGTTTTTGAAGAGTATAGAATTCCAGGTTGACAATGTTCTTTCACATTCTTCAAATATGCTGCCCCAGGGTCTTTTGGCTTGCCTTGTTTCCAGCAAGAGGTCTGCCGTCATTTTGATATTTTGTTCCTCTTCACGTAGTGTGTCATTTTTTTCTCTATCAGCTTTTCAGATTTTCTCTTCATTAATTTTCATTTCTCTTCGCTAGTTTGAAGCAATTTTATTATGGGCTTTAGCATAGTTTCCTTCATGTTTTTTTGTGCTTTGGGATTCATTAAGATTTTTAGATCTTTGGGTTTAGAGTCTTTAATTAAATTTTAAAACGTGTCTGCCATTATTTTTTCAAAATATTTTTTCCATCCACTCCTCTTTTTCCTCTTCTTCTGAAACACCAATTATCTGTATATTTGGCTGTTCGAAATTGTCCCATAGCTCACTGGTGATCTGTTATTTTTAAAAACTTGTTCTTTTTCTTGTGTTTCATTCTGAATTGTTCTGTTACTGTGTCCTCAAGTACACTAATCCTTTAGTCTATAGTGTCTAACACATTTTTATTTCCATCTAGTGTATTTTTGTTTTCAGCCATTGCAGTTTTCATCTCTGTAGGTTTGTTTGACCTCTCTTTTATATCTTGCAACTACTCCTTAACATATTAAAGCTCTTTACCTTCTTAACCATATGGAATATATCTATAATAGCTATTTCAATGTACATATCTACAAATTTTGTGTTCTGTCTCATTTCTGGATCTGTTTCTATTGATTCATTGTTATCCTCATTATAAGCTGTATTTTTCTGTGTCTTTGCATGCCTGGCAACTTTTGATTGATTGGTATACGTTTTGAATTTTAGGTTATTGCATGCTGACTTTTTTTTTTTTTGGTATGCTTTTAAATATTTTTGAACATTGGAATGAAATTAAATTTGCGAACAGTTTGATCCTTTCTGGACTGACTTTTAAGCTTTGTTAGGAAAACCAGATCAACCTTTAGTCTAGGGTTAATTTGACACCATTACTAAGCCAATAACTTTCTGAATATTCATCCTGATGATTCATGTATTACAAGATTTACTGAACTATTTCAGCCCCACTGTGCTCCAGGAAATGTTTTGCCTGCTCCTTTCTGCTGGTTTTTTTCCCCCAGTCTCTGGTTGTTTCCTCACACACATGCTCTGACCGGTACTTAACTGAAGACTCAAGGCAGGGCCACTGTACATCTCTGAATATCTCTCTGTATGTGGTTCTTTCTTCTCTGGTTCTCTGCCTGTGAATTCTAGCCTCTTTAGCCTCCTCAAATTTTTTTTTTTTTAAAGATTTTATTTATTTGAGAGAGAGAGAATGAGAGACAGAGAGCAGGAGAGGGAAGAGAGTCAGAGGGAGAAGCAGACTCCCCACTGAGCAGGGAGCCCGATGTGGGACTCGATCCTGGGACTCCAGGATCATGACCTGAGCCGAAGGCAGTCGCCTAACCAACTGAGCCACCTAGGCGCCCCTAGCCTCCTCAAATTTTTATCTGTCTCCAAAACTCAGGGAGATTACCAGGTCCTGTTTAGGTCTCCCTTCCTATGCTGCAGCCTGGAAACTCTAGGCATTAACCCAGCATTATTGTAGGATTCACCTTAGTTGTTTTTCTTAATGATCACTATCCTGTGCTGCCTGTTGTCCAGTGTTGGAAAACCATTTTTTCATGTGTTTTTTTTTTTTTAAGATTTTATTTATTTATTTGAGAGAGAGAGAATGAGAGAGAGAGAGCAGGAGAGGGGGGAGGGTCAGAGGGAGAAGCAGACTCCCTGCCGAGCAGGGAGCCCGATGCGGGACTCGATCCCGGGACTCCAGGATAATGACCTGAGCCGAAGGCAGTCGCTTAACCAACTGAGCCACCCAGGCGCCCGATTTTTTTCATGTGTTTTATGTTACTTAAGGCTAAAGGTTCAATACGGTCCCTGTTATTCCCATCATTATCTGAAACAGAAGATTGGCTTCTGTATTGTTTCATTTATTACCAGAGTAAATAAATTATTCACATAAGGATGATGCCCTTTTCATAGGGATTAGTTAAATAATATACATGAAAATCACTTTCTATATGGTAAAGTGTAAAATGTTACATAGGTGTTTGTCACTGTCACTACTTATACATAGGTAGTTGCAGATGATCTACATAGGAGTACAGCCTAAAAGGCCAAAAGATGAAGGTGTTGTTTCTGAAAAACTGCCTATGCTTCCATGCATATCACTATGTCATGTTGCGTATTTTTCCATGCTGTATGAATTCATGCATTCATTTATTCAACAGACATTTATTAGACACCCATATGTCAAGCAGTGTTCTAAGCACTGGAGATCTTTGCCATCAGGAGCTTATATTCTGTTGGTCTATTTTCTTCTCTGTGTGTCTCAGCTGTTCTACTTTTTTTTTTTTAGTATAATTGACACACAATGTTACATTAGTTTCAGGTGCACAACATAGTGATTTGACAGATTTATACATCATGCTACTTCCTGTCCTACTTTTTTCTGTCACTATCTGGACATGTTTCTCATTGTGTCTCTGGGCCTCTGTATGAGCGCTCATCTCATTCTGCCTTCACCTCCTATATTTTCTTCTTCTGGTTCATCTGGTCTTCCCACACTATCTTATTCTTTGTATCATCTAGTCCAGTTTTCATAATATTTGTCTTCCATTACTAATCTTTTTTCTTTCTTTCTGGGTAAAAGCCAGAGCAAAAGAAAAGTCTTTGCAAAAGCTTACAAGGCTTTAAAAGATCCGTGTGCCCACTTATCTCTGAACTTTTCACTTACAACTCGCCTCTTGTTGATTTTCCTCCAGTAACTTTGGCCTTCTTGCCATTGTTGTTTTTTGAAAACACGAATTATGGTCCTACCTCAGGGTCTTGGCACTTGCTATTCCTTCTGCTTTGAATACTGTTCTTCCATATATCCACATCTTTTCCCTCACTTTCTTTGAGTCTTTGCTCAGTGTCATCTTTTCATTGAGGCTTTTTCTGGCCTCTCCCTATTTTAAAACATCATGTCTTCTACTACTACCTTTCCTTTTCTCCATTCCTACCTTATTTTTCTTGGTAACACTTATTACCTTCTAAATTATACTGTAACATCTCTTCTTGTTTCTTCTCTTTGGTTACACTAGCATATAAATTCTATGAAGGGAGGGATTCCTGGGTGCTGACGAAAGCACCTGGGACACTGCCTGGCACTAATAAGGAGCTGAACAAATATTTGTTGAATGAATGGGTCTCCTTGGTAAAGTACTTTTTGTTTGTTGTATTATGTTTATTGAGTATACTTTTTTGTTTCATGTACTTTATTTTTTAAATTTTTTTAATTAACATATAATGTATTATTTGTTTCAGGGGTACAGGTCTGTGATTCATCAGTCTTACACAATTCACAGCGCTCACCATAGCACATACCCTCGCCAGTGTCCATCACACAGCCACCCCATCCCTCCCACCCCACCCCCCACTCCAGCAAC